CGGAAGCCCTCCTTGCGGAGAACGACGAGGCCGGGAGTGAGTCGCCGGTCCCAAGACTGGCGCTCCCCGCCTGAGGCTCCCTGTGCGTCGGAAGCCCTCCTTGCGGGGAACGACGAGGCCGGGAGTGAGTCGCAGGTCCCAAGACCCCAAAGACCGGCGCTCCCCGCCCGAGGCTCCCTGTGCGCTGGGGGCCCACCCTCCGGGATTGTACTGAGTTTCTGAGAGTAAAGAGATCTCAGTATTTAATGTGGTCTGCAGGTGGGCCAGATCCAGTGACAAGCACACTTGAGTCTTGGAAAATACCTTAAATCTGTTTGTGAAGTTCTACTTCTGAACTTTTAAACTTTTGCTGTCACTAAAAGAGGAAATTTGAATTCTTTTTTTTTTTTTTTTTGTTTTTCTCTGGTACCGGGAACCGAACTCACGACCTTGCGCTTGCCAGGCAGGCGCTTTGCCGCTGAGCTAAATCCCCAGCCCCGAATTCTTTATTAATACTTTCCAACAAGTATTAATTCTAGAAGATTAAATCTGCATAATTTGCTTTACCTGTTTTCAGAAAATATTTTATTGACGACCTGTTTTTTTTACGTTGGGGATTTTTTGGTTGTGGTTGTGGTGGTGGTGGTGTGTGTGTGTGTGGTTTTGTTTTGCTTTGTTTTGTTTGAGACAGGGTCTTGCTATGTAGTTCAGGCTGGCCTTGAATTCACTGTGTAGCCCTGGCTGGCCTTGAACTCATGGTGATCCTCCTGCTTTAGCCTCCCCAGTGCTGGGATTACAGGCAGGCACCACCACATCTGCTATTACTAGAAAAGTCACATTTATTTACTATTTACCCCATGTCAGGAATTCTTATTTGTCTGCAAAAAAATTGTTTTGGTAAATATTTGTTAACATGTGGTAAGGAATATATTAAGTCTAGGAGTCTAGTCAGAGTCCTGACTTTAAAAATACTGCCAGGTGGGCTGGGGATTTAGCTCAGCGGCAAAAGCGCCTGCCTGGCAAGCGCAAGGTCGTGAGTTC